GGGGAAAGCGACTGAGGTCGACTGTGTCAGTGCACATGCCCCACAGTAAACAATCGGACGCGCTGAAATCTACTCTCCCTTGGCCCTCCTTTCCAGAAAAAGAGTCAGGTCGCAATGCCTCCTTCTTAAGGTGGCCTCTATGGCACTTCCACTCTCACTACCGTCTTGTTGGGAGAGATTGCGGTTTTATGTACATAGACCAGGGAGTGTGTTTGCACCCTTAGGTACGGGTTTGCGTTGTGTCCGCCAAAACGCCCGATTCCATATCGGGTGTCAGTGCTATCATCTTGAAAGCTAGGAGAGGATTAGAGTGTGTAGTAGATGACACACAAGCCCTACTTTGTCAGCCAGTCACCGTCACTGCTGTTGATGACACGGTGAGCATCATCGGCTGTGAGAGTCGACCTCGATCATGTTGCTCAGACTTATCAAAAGACTGTAAAGGGCGTATTCCGTTTGCGTTTAAGGACTGGCTAGTAAAAGCTTGCGCATTGTCATTTCTTTTTTTAATTCATCCATCTATAGCTGGTGTTAGGATACTTTGATGTAAAAGTCTCGCATTTCGTCGGTAAAACCTTCTACATGTTCTGAAAGAAAGAATTACTGGGTTTGTAGTTCACGATTTTCCAAAAAATGTAAAAGGGAACGTCCAAGGGTAGGAACTTTCGGATTTTCTCTGCCCCGTGCCTCTTGTAAGGGCGAGGACAAATAAGATGGAGGTTCATGCATTTGTGTGTGGAATTTCTTCAAAGAAGAGGAAATCAGTCCGAGAAATTATGTTAAATACGTTGGAACTTCGGTTAAGGAGGTTACTCTGTTCTAGCATCGAATTAGTCATGAGAAACGCTTGTCTTGCGAAACGTAGCCAGTCGAAGTGCATTAGTTTACTGATTGACTGCAGGCGACCGTGGACCCTGGTAGCAACACTCAACAGCGGACACAGATACACACACACACACATGCACTGTCAGCTCGATAACTAGGTGGAACCTCATCAATCAAAACACGTTATTAGTGAGTGGCTCACTCGCTACCTGAAATGCTTGTACATAGAGCCACTCGTTTTCCGAGCCTCCACTGTACAACAAATTAAAGCACCGCGTTCTTGCCTTCGGAGCCACGTGCATACGATATTCAATAAACGATTTAACCATTTCAAAGTTTGTCAGCAGTAGTTTAAGTAGTGCACCTCATATGCCCCTAGTTACTGCATTTTGTTCTGCGGCAACGGTGGTTATAGAGGTTTAGGGGTGGAGGATTAGGGTAGGCGGTTGAATATACTTTACTTACTGTTGTATGCATTTTTATTTTATTGCAGTTAGAAGCGTTGATGATTTATGTGTGTAAATCTTCCTAATCTGTATTATCGTTTAACGCATTGCGGAAACACCCTATTATAAATATGCAGTTTTCACGAAATGCCTAAATAAATAGCAATTGTTGTTAGAAGGTCGTCTACGTCAACTTATCTGAGATCCAACATACCATTCTGGAGTAAGATTAGTATAGTTTGCGGCGTGAAGCGCCGCGTACACGTTCAATTTACATGCGCAACAAATAGCTCCCAGCAGTCTTAGGAAACAAAACCAACTGTATTTTTCACTTTCTATTTATTTCTACAAATTTTCTTCACTGCCTGTCCTATTTTCTCATACCTAAAACCCGTATATCCACCGTTTCCGTAGAACCAAATGCTGCAGCTAGAGGTATATGTGGTGCACTACTTAAACTACTTTGACTGAAGTTTAAACAGTACGATGAACGTGCACAACAGTATGTAAATGAATACGTAAAAAACGTAATTTTATTGGCTTACAGAATGGTAAGCATGCAACATCCATGCACTTACCATGAAAGACATTCTGTTAACTTTGATAGCATGCTGGAAGGTGTAGGAGGACTGTCGGAAGGGATCATTTAACGTGGGCGTGCTGGGTGTAATCCCAGCGATAGGGGAGGTCGGAGCTAACATGGTGCGGCGATGTTCAGGCTCCGTGTGGATAGCGCTGGTATGCCGGCGCAAATGAAAAGCGCTACGTGCGCTAGTAGTCCGGGTATCACTTCCGACGGATGATGAGGAGATGACGCGGGAAACCGAGGTAGCGCGAACGGCGCGACTTTTTGCTGAGCAGCGGGAATACATGGTTTCGAAACTGCCTTTGGACGGCCACGTAGGCGGTGGTGACTGCGGTGAGGCACCTCGTTCGCTGGGAGAGTCGGCGAGACGGTAGGTCAATGATCGAGAACCGCGTATGACTCGTCCGAAATCACCAACAAAACGGTTCATCGAACGGCCAGCAGAGCCCGGTTCGGTACTGGCTTCATCATCCGTGATTAGAAGCGACTGGTCAAACAAAAATACTCGGCACTCGACGAATTTCAAGTGCAGAGCCTTACGCGCCTTTTTTCGGACTGCAAAGCAAAAACAAAAATGTTAAGAGGTTTCAGTAAAGTTGATGAGTACGTTAAACACAGGAATGCAGATTGGCAGTTGGACGCTGTAAAGAAGGGAGTTAACATTACCCTGGGTTGCGTTTCAGTAGGACAATGTTGTGTGCTTCCTACTGAATAAAGTAAACACGCTTTAAAGACTATCCAAGAACGTAAAACATACGACACAACCCACGTTCTCAACTTGCTTTCTCCCATTGACGCTACGGTGGATAAACAGGGCATTTATCGATTTAAAATACACCTTTTAGGCTCATTTAGTTGTTAATAGTTTAAAATTAGAAACAAGAAACGTTCAAAAGAGCTAACAACGTTCGGATGAAGGTGTTGCTTTAATTCCCCTTCGCCGAGAAATAAAATGACCTGTAGGTCAAACGATTTTGAGTTAAAATCTAACAAATTTAGTGATAGGGAAGGGTTAATATGATGCGTATGGCTAGAGTTGAGGTTAAAGTTAGGGTTACGTTTAAGGTTTTCGTTGGAATTAGAGCTACGTTTAGCGTTTGAAACTGAGTGCCCTTTATTAAATTTAACGCTAACCCCCTGTATTACAGGGAGAGGAGTTTATGGTTCTGCAACCACATATTAGGGACGCATAAGAGATTCTCATCAAGCATCTAAAAAATCGGAGTAATGTTCTTTCAAAACCCAAGTCACAATAAGCAGAAATATGTTTTACAAAACTGACATAAAAATAGTCTGCAAAAAGGAAATATTGCAATGAAATACAGTGAAATTTAATAGGGTCAGAAGAAGAAGGTCGCCACTTCAATTAACTGGAAGGACTACTTATATAGTCACCTATACGGGACACTAGATTAGCAAAGCCATGCCCACTTATAATATGCGACCTACTGATAACGTTTAGGAAGGGTAAATATTTCCCTGCCTTTACCCTTTACTAACCCTAGCAGAAAACCAAATACTAACTTTATTTCCTACTCTACCCCAACCCGTAACCTAAACCCAAAAATTAACAGGAACTCGAAACGTAATCAGCAACATAATACTGAACTTGACCACATAATTAAAACCTTCTCTAAAATTAATTATCATCCTCATGTTAATTATCCAATTAATTTCTCAGGAGTTTGGGGCAAATTTACATGTAGTCTGAATGGCTCATTTCCCATGGCCCGTTTAGGCAACAATTCAGAGCATCCTTACCCAATTAACTTTACGGTTACATTTTAGGGACACTCTCATGAAGCATCCAAGAAATGATGGGAAGTTTTGGCTTAGAGCAGAAATATCTTAGGTCTTGTATTTTCTAAGATCCGCTTGAGTCGTTAGTTTGAGTGCTTGACTTTGAGAATATTTGCTGCAAACAACTAAATTAAAGCGATTCCATAGAGCCAGAGCCTCTGGTTTGCTTACGAATAGGTTGCATACCTACATATTTCTCATAAGTACAATGGAGAAAATCAAATATGCAACTCGACCCATTGGAAAACAGCAGAAGCATTAACCTTTTTTACCTGCAATGTGTTATATGCCACAATGGTTAATGGCCGAAGATAAAGATTAAGGTAAGCCTAGGAAGGAGTGTCGGTAAGGATGATTTGTATGGCTGCCTAAGCAGGACGTTGGAACAGGAACTGCCCACAATGATTGTGGCCCTGCGCCAAATCTTGGATGAAATTTAATTCGGGGTTAGGGCGGGGGTTACGGTTGGACTTAGGATGAGGTTTAAGATTGGGGCTTAGGAGAGAATATATTATGAATATTTCAGACATCCGTTAAGAGTTAGGATCTGGGGTTTGTTTAAACTGTAGGGTAAAGGGGTAGTGTTAGGCTAGGGTCAAGGCTAAATTTACAGTTTATATGTCAGAAATATGTTGAGGATGAAGGTATGGATTCATGTTAACTGTAGGTTTTAGTTTAAGGATTGGCCTCGGATATAGACTATCGCGGGGGAGGGGTATGTTTGCTGCGCGACACTTATCACAAGACCACCAGTTGAACGTGGGCGGGCGTTCATTTTCTCGTGGCCTAGTTATGTTGTTACGTATGTCATCCTAACTTAAGTTTCTTACGAAGCTAAGCAAAACTAGCCAATTCGACTGTTATGCAAGACCCCTGTACACATATTAATTGTAAATAATCCGTCGATATATCAACTAGAGTCAATTAACTGGACGAGAATGGGCTCAAAGGAACATGAAAGCGTTTTTTGACCTCAAAACTTTACGTATAATAAAGGGGGTGTTTCGATTCCCTTTTACATTCTCGACTAACAGACAAACAATCATTAAAGGTGTATTTCGGACACCATCATTTTTTTCAACTCAAGTTTACCGTTCCTTTAATGCAGCAATCTGACGCGTCATTTGCAGTGTGTAACTTAAATGTTCCTAGATTTTTATGCGTACATAAAGACCATTGTGTAGAGAAGTATCAACTGGCAGGCTAAACAAATAGGTCATTCTAAAACTAAGCATGCACTACATTATGAACACAGAAACAAACGATAAAAACAGCAAGGTATGCCTTTTGAAAGTTTCCGGCAAAACTCGCATTCTTGCTGATCAGGCGAGCTGGGACTTCGAGAAGGTGAAAGCCACGTTCGGCTCTTCGCGGAGTTTGACTGTGGCAAGCGCGATTCCTCCAATTGCCGTTCTTCCTGCTGATACTGATCCTGAAGTTTCGCTGCCGATAGGGCAGTTTGCATCTCTTTGCTGGTAATCCGGGCGACATACATTGCACTGAATAGTCTCAGGTGGCCGAGGTTGGTTATGCTACCGGAAAATCCGACAATTTTCGCCGCCTGGTGGATAAAAACGAACGTTGGTGTAACGAAAGGATCTTTGAGGCGAAACAGGTTTCGTGAAAACCAATGGACACTGGTGTGGTAGACCCCTATTTTGCGAAACTTGAAAATCAGAAAGACTGCCTGAAATACACTTTTCTTGCTTACACTTGGCACGCAATAATAACGTGACCTTCACTCCATTGAGTAAAATAAAATACATTTTGACTGTAAAACGAATATTTTACTATACGCATCTAAATGATGTCTGACCATGACCCTTGAGATACACAGAGCCGCTTTTGCAGTGAATGATCATTCACTGCTGTTTATAATCAATAAAAAATTTTCCGGTTTCTAGTAGAATGAAAAAGAACCGAAAGCGTCAAAAATTAGTTTTTTTTGAAATGCGTCGAGATGTACACATTCCATGCGACCATGTTACACTGCGATGTAGAAGCAGTCATCGGGAAAACTGACATAAAACATTTGTCAACTACAACACATTTCGTCTGCCACGTTTGTTTTTTTGTAGGAATAACAACGGTTGCGCGCATCCAAATGAAGTAAGCGAACATATGTTTGTGTCCAATGCAGACTTGTTTTTGTACACTGCCATACTATTTTTGTGGCCCTGTTAGCGAAGAGCAACAGAAGAAAACTAGTCCCTGAAATCATCTTAAACCAAGTGCACTGATGGTTCACTAAGGGCCTGCTTTGTTCAGGTTTTTGATGCAGACTTTCTGCTATTACTTCAAAGCCATGAGCTATGAGGTATTCTTTAGTGTTTATGTTTAGACTGCTGCCACAGTCTCGTCGTGAAATCAACTACTATAAATAATATTTGGACTGGTACAGTACTGTGCAGTTTTTGGTTCCTATTTATCGCTTTCTTTATTTAATAATTTGGAAGCACGATTGTTTCAGTATCTGCGAGATAGAGTAAAATAACTAGACACCATTCACAAAGACAAGGGACAATGGACTAACTATTTCTTGCCTAGTTATGATCATGGACCACCTGTGCACTGAAAACATGCTGGACGATTAAGTTCGCAGACCAAAACGTTTTACAATTGTCGCCTCGAAAGTTTGACAATTTGGGATCTAACAAAACTATCTGTCTTTTCGTAGAAGTCCTTTTGCGTTGGCAAGCTTGAAGGTCACGTCACATGGAATCCGCACGATGAGCCGGTCCTTGGTAGTCAGGAGAGAACGAAACGCGCACATCCAAACTGCTGCATTCTTTGGGGTTGGGATTACGCATTTCGGGTATATTTAGACGTATAGTCTACAGCAAATGCTGACTAATGCAGCGTAAACCGTTTGCAGTTCCCTTCACAGCCCAACTATTCTAACCGTAAGTAGAGACGGTGATTCTGAATGAATAACTGATAAGATCGAATAATTCGGCTAATTAGGCAAATTCCTTGTCTCACCGACGCAGTAAGGAAATAATGGTTCGTTCGTGCGTAGGCTAGGGAGTGAAATGCATAATTAAAGAGGAACAGTAAATACTCTCTGGAGAAAAGGGGAGAACAAATTGCTTTCTATAAAACCTTGACGATTTCTAGTAGAAGAAAATATTTTTCGATACCAGCCGGTAAGCTACAGCGACTTCGATTTTTTCATCAACAGCAGTGGTTATGAGTTTTCCCAAATAGGGTCATAATCATGCAACGAAAGCAGTCCTAATTTATATGCAGGAATATTAAAAGCGGAATCTAGTTGGGGATAATCCATCAGCGTACTTCTAGCAAAATATGGGACCAGCTGGGATGTGGTAGAGAGTTGGCGACAGTAGCAAGTAAAAGGTGATAAGACGTTTAGGGCAAAAGATGAATAGCACTGTTGAAACAGGTGTTAAATACTAAAACCAGACTATAGTGGGGGTAGTCGCCTTAATTAGACGATGATTCTGGAAATGCAAATAAAACAGTTAAAGTTACGGTACTTTCTGCAGATGTAACATTGAGGAACTTTTCGATAAAACATTAGACAGTTTCATATATAACTGAGATAATCAATTATAATCAGTACCATCGGCTAATAGAACAGCCAACCTGCTTGGTAGAAGGTGGACAGCAGAGAACACAATAACCGTCACAATTTTAAAATTAAAAATAAAACGCATGTTTACTATTTCTTTTTGACCTGCACAGAAATTACGCGGACTTCGAATTACTGGGGGTCAGCAAGTATTTGCCCAACCGTCCAGTATAGCGCGCAAGATTTGAAATGTTAAGCTGCCTCCTTACTCGCTTTGACCACTTGTAACAACACCGAATTGACGTGACCAATAATTTTGGGGAACGAGACTTTCCGAGTTGTCCACACTGTTAAGCAAAGCCGAATAGGCACATTCTCGCAAGTTTAGCGGAGAAAAAATTAAAAGCTTACGACAAAGTATAAATTTTACTGAAACAAAATTAATGAGAGAATGGAATGCCAAAATTTTATAAAACAGCGGAAATTATCTTTTGCTTTGCAGCATCACATTTTGCGCGCAGTAATGTTAATAGACGTAAAAACATCTTTTATAGTAGGTGTGGGTTTTTCTGTTGTGATTTATATGATTGGGCGAACACATAAATCAACGATAAGAGGAGTTTTGCCAAACAAGAGGCCTTTGGCCTCAAGCCAGTTTTTGGTTCACTTCTGATTGGCAAACGCGAAGGTTTGGGAGCGTCTGCTTGACGTAAATAAGTACATGGTATGTTTAGTAACATAGCCTATAGACAAGAAAGTAAATTGTATACTTAATCCTTTGCTTCTCGTCAAACAATTTCCTGAATAATTTTGTAAAAATAGTCTGTTTATTGAGTATAATGGTGCCATGTTTTAGCTGGCCGATCGGCCTCCAAATTATCTGACTAAATCCTCTATGTCTCGATCTTCGAACGTGAATTGTGTCTATAATTATCTTTTGGTGCAAAAAACATATAAGAAGGGCAGGCCTGAAAGGTGGATGTTTGATAGACATATTCGGCACATTTCGCATATATGAATTAATATTGGCAAACGTACCCACAATACGCCCAGAAAAGCCAATGTTTTAGGCATTGGTTAATATGTATGGGTAATCTTGACGATATTTGAAATACATATTCCAACCCTTTGCCTATGATAAGTTGGATTGGGTTTTAGTGGCTTGGACTCGTTTTAGAGAACCTAAAAGTTCCTAATACAGTCGTCAGAGGGACGTTTTGAGTAAATAATGTAAAGGAAAAGCCTTAAAAAGCCGTTTACGACAAAAACAGGATTTAAAAAAACTTGAAACAACAAGAAACAGGCACTTTACAGAAAGCAAAATCAATCGCAACGCTTCAGCCGGAGGAAGTCAAATAATTAAAGGTTTCAAAGATTTAAAAACTGTTGCACTTAAAACCGTTCACTTTGTGTATGGGCAAAATTACCCTTCGTTTTCTCGAACACAACCCTAAATTGGGGCAAAAAGCTTTTACATATCCGCCAAATACACCTTTGGTGAGCAAGAAATACATCCGTTGAACGGTATGGTAAGTATTAGCAAAAGAAGAGAAGAATCCTATTCGCCTCCAAAAGCAATAATCGTGGAGCGCGTTAAAGCGCAAAAGACCATCTTATCATTCGTTGTCTGAATAATGCCGCACAGTGAGCGGTGACCAAACGTTTGGCAAAAATCTGTTCCCCTCGCTGACTGATATGAAAAAAACACAACAGAGACTAAGCCCATCTTAGAATGTTATTCATAATTTTTCCCATTGCGAGTTTGACTGCCAAATATTTACCTTTTTTCCAAAACAAAGATGGAGCTGAACCACAGCTTCGTATTTCACCTCTGCATTTTTAACAGAGACTTTCAACAGTAAGAACGTTGCCATTTTTACAGGGGATTTACTAATTTTACCCAACTCTTAAAAACTCAACGGTTTCAGTGAGAGTCGAATCCACGACAGCAAGGGTAATGTTTGCATAAAACCAAAACTCCAACCACCGGATATGATGCACGCCGAACGGACTTTGTGTGTTTAGTCACATTTTGGGTCAAGTTCCCCGCCCAGTCCACTGCAATGCATGCAATCTATTAATACTGATGCAGTAAGCCGACTGCCAACAACTGCCACTATCTAGTAGCAACAGAATAAAAGAGGTGAATGCTGATGCCGCCGTGAATTTCGCGGTTGGCTAAATTGACTATTTGAATTATCTAAAAATACCCAACAAGAGGACTTATCGCTGACAAACGAACACCGCAATTACAGGCCAATGCTCAGTGACTCAAACACTTATTTTAACTTTTCCTGTGCGGTATCTTATTTAATTCCAAAAACACATCTGAAGCATCTACCATCTTTGCGTAAATGTTGACGGTTCAACTGACTCCCAAAGTTTGCAGAGCAGAAGACTACCTCACTTAATCTTTGCTCCTAGCAGTATAGGTTGCTCAGACCGTAGGTTAAAAATTAGACGGCATCGAAAACTCAATAGACCAAAACGTAGATTCTGAATTCTTAAAGAAGGTAAATTATTCTCGCACTATATAATATAATTGATGGATTAAGCTCGAATTACAAAGAGTGATAAATCACACAGACGCCGACTGTTAAATACAATAAGTTCATAAAAATATATGAACTATAAGTTAAAAATGCTGATTGCGCCAAGGCCTAACTTCATAAAATAACTCCATTAAGTTCGAACAAAGAAGCATTTAATGTGCATAGCGCCTTAATAGTAACAATTCGAAATATTAACTTAACCAAAACCCGTACAGATATCTGAAGTCCATGTAAATAATGGTCTGTCGTCCACGATGTATAAATAACAAACGCTACAGGAAAAGTGATCTTGCTTTGCACTTGAAAGAGGGGATCATACAGAGGTTTTGTCAGTGTGGTCCAATTGCATTCCTTCTTAATGTAAACTGACACAATTTGGTGGCAGACTACCCAAATTCTAATCACACGGATAGAGAATAAGTGAACCTCCTAACGTACATCAAGTACAGAATTTCCTGACCTAGGTAACCTTGCGTAGTACTTATATTAGTTTACGTAGGTAGTTAACGCTTT